AAGTACTATTACGTATTGCAAAAATGATAATTATTAACTTTCAAAAATTATTTATAATGAAATATTCGTTTTTCTATATAAAATATCATGTCAAAATACATAAATTAAAAAAAATAGTGAGGAAAGCGTCACAAATAATTAAAAACAATTGTTTCGAATTAAAATTTTTTTTTGCACAATTAATCTGGCCATAAATTATAAACACAGCTATTAAAAAATAAGTGAATTTAACGATGTATTGGTGTGAATGAAAAAGATATGTTTCACAGAATGAAGAGGATAGTATGATACATCAGATATCTTATGGGAAGAAGTGAGAAACATATTGATTTATAACGTAATATAGTTATTAACTATAGAGTATCAATCGTATAAGCAATTATTTTTGCACTAGGTATAAATAGGTTCCTATTATCTGACGCCTAATCTCACTATAATAACTGATAACAATTAGGATGTAAGAACTAAGCATTTAAAATAATAGGTTGGTATGTAGTATGTACCTACATACTTTTGTTAGGTAGGTACCTATACGGCTATACCTAATTTAAACTCATATCGGTGTAAGTATAGTATTCATAGTGTATAAAATGCAAAATTATACCTAATTAATATTGCGACCACAAATTATTACACAAATGCTTGTATTGCTGCATTAGATAGGTTCGTAGATAGTTACCTACCTACTTTCTGATATTATATGATAGCAATAAATTAAAAAGTTAGATTGAATCATGTATTAGAACATTGGTACATGATACATACAGGTATGATCTCTATACCTACAGCTGTAGTTAATATGTTATAACTATACGTTGTAGGTACCATATATATTACATTCGATAACACATTTAGTAAGATAATTTATTTTGTTTTTGTACTAATAGGTATAGGTGCCTATGTATTATAATTTATAATTATTAAATATAAGTACCTAATAACTAATAATTTAATTATTATACAGGTATAATAAGATACCGGCGAGTAATGAGTATAATTAATAATTACCTAATACCTACTTGTAGAGCCATAAAAATATTTAAATACATCATATTACAAAATCAAATTAAAAATACATTAGACAGTAGATACAGTTAAAAAAATATAAATAATGCTGTAAAGCTTTACATTTTAAACATGAACCCTTTAAAGTTTACTTTATTTCTATATTATATTGTAATGTGTTCAATTTGCATTAACCTATAATATAGAATTATAGTCCAATAGGTCAAAAGTCTATGTGAATTTTTTGCAGAATGTGTATTGGTTTAAAATGAATATGTAAGTAGGCACTAACTACTAAGTAAGTGGTAGGCAACTAAACAAAATCAACAATAGATTCGCCTCACTCCGTCCGGGGTCTTTAATAGGAAACCAATTCGTTATGAACAGTTTGCATAAAAAATATGTTTTTTTCTTTATCTAGGTAAGTATCTGCAAACTACGTCAGTCACCTTTAGATTATATTTTAAAAAATGTCTAGGTAGGTACCTAGGTTATACCAATATAGTTATTAGATATAATAGTATATTAAGGATATATTATGATTATTAATTAAACTAATAATGTAACGAAAATTAATTTTCTTCAGACTTATCAAGCAATTTCTAAAATTAGTTTATGGTACAACTGATTAGGTAGGTACTACGCTCACTGATTTGGTAATTGGTAGATAGTAGCCAGTAGGTACCTATCTCCTAGTTTGTCACCTTATTGGTAACTTACTCATAAGTCATAACTGTAGAGCCCGAATTTTTATGCCCAAAAAAATATATCAAAATAATGTAACATATCATATTCTGCAGTCAAAAAAAAAAAATTTATTGGGTTATAGGTAGGTATACTAATATGATAAAATTTTTTTTTTATTTGATTACTATTATTATTAGTTTATAAATTTATTAGGTATTAAAATAATGTAAAAAAATCAAACAACTTATAATTAGGTAAGCATTTACTTAATGACCTTATCTTTATCTCAATTAAGTACTATTTGTGGCCTAAAAAATTAATTTGAGTTTTTTACTTGACAAGACATTATTTATATCTTTTTTTAATTTTTGCTTCAATAGTTTTGATTGCCAGAAGTTACAAACTACTATAATTTGTTTAAATTACTGACGAAAATCCAAAAATGTGAAAAATGAAAAATATACTGCAGTTGCATCAAAATCCACATTCTACTCATAAGTCATAAGCATAACCAATAATTGGTATTTACACTATACAATTAACACATTTACACATAGTCCATTTACCCCATAGGTAGGCCTATAGGCATATCTCATTCATGTGTATCTTTGATATGGTCGTTAACGTTGCACTTTTTGACAATAGGTCAGAGTATTCATCGTTCAATACACACAATGCGTATAATATGAGTCTCAGTCCTCAGACACAGTACTGTTATTCATATTCTATTCATATTTATTTTCTTTGTAGTGTTAGAAAATGATTCCACCAAGCGTATCTATACTGTGCTTGTGTAGGTAGCTTCAATTACCAATAACTATTTAAATATTTACTAAAGTTTACAAATAACGGCTTTAAATGATTTAAATAGGTACAACTGTACAAGGTGTACATTTAGTATTAGTAGGTACCTACCTATAAGAATTGAGTATATATATACTCAATTCTATAAGTTGTACAAAAAACCTTATGGATATAGTTTGATTATATTTATTAGGTACAGATCTTTATGAAATATTAAGAGAACAATAACGCATAATAAACAAATTTTGCAATTCTTTATCATCAAATTTTTAGGTAACGAAGGTATTATCTAGATTCTATAGGATCTATAGCCCTATATTCAATTCATATATTGGATCATTTGGTTCCTGTTTTTGACAACACAAAATCATTCCCACTCCATGCAGACATAGGACTGTCCCAAAAAAATAAATGTGTTGTTCTGTTTAATTTTATATGAAATAGTGAAAAAAAAACATACTAATAAACATATTAATAGTTTTAAATTTGATTTAACTCAAAAAATAATATTATAAATCATAAATGTATGTTCTAGTTGAAACATAGCGTTTTTAGATAGTATATACACTTTTAGTCTAAAACGGGTACATTTTGTATAGGTTATCTACGTTTTTTCACATATTCAAGTTAAAAACTACTTATTTAGCCTAACACCCACTGCAGTATATGGTTTTGGATTTAAAATTGTTGACATCGAATACTAGATCTGTTTGGAATTGACATATTTGTTGGGACCTGAGCCTTTTGGAACCAAAAGTCCAAAACAAACAATGAATGAGAGCCGTTTGAGCCTAAAACACAATGAATGCTCCCATTTTAAGCTGCACCGTATATCTAGGGCCACTCGTAGAATTTTAACTTTTAAGCAAGTTTCAATCCTTTTAGAATTGTAAATTTTAACTGTTCTATAATAAAAATCATTTCATCTGAGAAATGTAGAGAATTTTTATTAGAAATAGTAAACAGTATAGTATTATACTATTTATACTGTGACACTGTGTAATTAAAGCTATTCTTTAATTTCTGAAAAAAAACTATTATCAACAAAATTCAGTAAATATGCATAACTGTAAAAGGCACATATACCTATGTGAATGTAATTAGTGTGATAACAGGTAATGGACGGATAACAGTAAAACATAAATGCATGTACTTTGTACTATATATTTTAATATCCTAGTGCCATCCTACTAAAACCTAGATGTATAATATATTGTATAGTGTACCTATATATAATTATTAGTTAGCTAGGGAAAAATGTATCGGGGGAAAAAATTACGTTACCAAAATATTATAATAACAATAGGTATAATAAGTACCTACCAATTATAATGCTATATAGAAAATATAACTTTGACTTACCTCTACGATCGTGTATTTGGTACACCGCAGCTTCCGGTTCGATTGCATAGGCAAATTCGCTCTTTTTAGAGTTCGTAAACATTTAGATTTATTTGGCTCAGACATAAAACAAAGAATATAAAGTGTTCACTATTGTAACTATGGTTTAATACTAACCGAATAACGTATGAATACGTCAGTCATGAAAATCTCTGGACCGTGCCGTGGAGTCTTCACAGTCCAGCAACATGGTAAATGGTAATTACATACAAAATAGGAGGAAAAAACCTAATTTTTATTTGGACGGAGAAAGAGAAAGGACTATATTATAGCGAATATAATGTAGAGAATAAGAGAATATATTAGGGTCAAGAAGCTAAACGCTAATTAAATTGCTGCCCTTAATTTGTTTTCAAACAACTCGATCATCTATTGTACGTGTTTTTTAGTATTTGAAGAATTCGGTATTTTTTTTTTTTATATATATTACCATAAAATCAGTCATCCATTACCATTATTATAGTTAATAGTATGCTCTATTGACCCACTGTACACAAAAAAAAATGGTAGTGGTCAGTCAGCTTGTTTTAGATGAATTACGTTTAATAGATGATTGAAGTACAGGATTCAAAATAAAGAATAACATTTTTTTTAAACTCGAGTCAGTGAAAAAATATGTACCAATAGGCAATCATAAAAGTTAAAAATGCATATACAAATTGAAAATACTAATTATAATTTACAATACCTGTATGAGTATAGCAATTTATAGTAATAGTTATATTATTTTACTCTTGAGAACGTTTACGTAATAATAGCGAACTTAGAATATGTTATTTTGTTTATTCTAAATAGGTTGAGTACATTGTATATTCTTGGGACAACGTAATAATAATCATACAGCTTAGAAATAAAAACTATTACCTAATTAACGCAGCATATATGCACGCTCGAACAAAATGGCGGGCTTGTTAGTTGTTGTACAACTGTAAAATAAAATAATTAGGATACAACCACAGATTAAATAGTTTTATTTAATCTGTGATACAACAATAATTATTGTGATGTCTAATCGGCGAGTTATATAAAATAGATCGGCAAGATTAAAATAATTAAACTTCTAAAAAATGGAGATATATTTTAGTAGTAGTACCTATCTAAAAAAAATCTCTTCGATCGTCAATGATGGCTTGAACTCAATCGTTTGTAAAAATAAAAGAATTTTCAATTCAAACGGTTTAATATACTTACATAAGACGTAGGTACCTACGTAACATTAGGAGCAATTATGGCGAAAAATTAAAAAAATAAAAGGTGAGCATACCTACGAAGTACCATTTAGACATTTAGTACTCGACGGCGGTATTGCCGGTACACTGGTATAGGTATACTCTTGTTGAAATGTCGAGTATGTATAAATACGTAGGTAATATGGTTAACGGTATGTGTAGTGGGTAGGTAGGTACCATTATATAGTATGCCGTAGGTTGTAGCTCTTCAGTAACCACTCTTGGTTCGGTCGTTAACCCAGAAGATAATAATATGAAGGTACCTATGACCGTACGCGGTCTCGCCGACCGAGAACGCATATACACGGTCACCAATATATATATACCAATATCGTCCACAATGAGATTTTTGTGCGCCAAATGTGGCGTCATGGTGTCCCGGAGAAGCAGCACGATTAAAACTTCAGCACAAGACGTCGTTATGACAGGGTTGCCCTTTCTATGTCCACTCGTGACAGTGTAACGGCCAATGGGAATCGAAGACGGCGAGCCATATAGGCGTGCGCACGGATGCACTTGCAGCAGATTCGTGTCCTCGGCTCACCGCTCACCTTTCGCTGCAGCTGCATCCACAACATTTTTTTTGGGCGGATCGATTGCCTATAGTCACAGTTGGTTAGTCGGGATAATTATTTATATAAGTAAATAAAATGGATCTGAACCAGTTTTTCCATTAGATAATTGCAGATATTTATTACTTTGTAAAGTTGTACTTATTATACGGCACCTATATAGTTAACAACAAATAGGTACTAGGTCAGAATTAGATCCGATTAGCATCTTTCCTATGGCATGAAAGTAAATAAAGTTAATACTTTGGGGGCTCAAAAGTAAGATTTTCAGTCAAATGGATGGAGAAAACCAAAAAAAATTTGCATGTTTGAATTTAAAATTCTTACGACATTGAAACATTGAGTAGGTATTATATACTGTAATTGGAAATTACTTATTATTCTTTAATTCTTACCTGTAAATTAATGATTTCTTATCAATCAATTTTTGATATTTTGTTAAAAATAATAACCAATAATGATTAATGGTAGATACTTAAAATTATCAACAAATGTTTATATTAGCATTTTCTATACCTACATGATAACATTTTCAAACTATTTTGGCTCTTTTTGAGTAATTTATAGGCATGTGAAATTGTCGATTTATTTTAGTTTTTTTTTTTCTGTAAATGAATAATTCAATCATTTTTCATTGAGTCAAAAAGCTTGAAAATTTAATTCAAGATTCCTGTAGTTTAAAAATATCAAAGATATATACGCAAGATGTTTTATAAGCATTTAATGTTCAAATTTTGACAATTCATCAAAATCACGAACATATTTTGCAAATTATTTTTTAGTTAAAATTGTATTAAATGTTCGATTTTTATGCCTAAAGATTGAACATTTAAAACAAGGTTTTTCATATGTATTTCAAACTGTAACCAAAAAATTTAAAAATCTAAAAATAATATAAACATTGTTTTTTTTATAGATATTTTAAGTAGTTTTATAGTAGGTATTGGTACTTTAAAAGTTTCAATTATTCATAAAGAATAACAATTTGAGTAATGGTGTTGTGATTTAAAAATAGTATTTATCATGGATAATTGAAACTTTTAAAGTATCTGTACATATTATTATATTTTATAGACATAATAGCATTTGTAAGTACTATGTGTTTGATAATAATTAATTTAACTTACTGAGTAACTAATAGTAATTTGATAAAAATCTGGTGAGCTAGAAGCCTTGAAATATTAATTAACAGTAGGTATCTCTAAATGGGTGATTTTAAAGAGTATCAACTGACTACATGGAAGGAAACATGGGACATCTCGTTGTAAAGGTACAATGTACATAGTTATTAATTTCTAAAATTAGGGTAGACAATAAAAAAAAACAAAAAGCCCAAAAAAAAATTAATGTAAGCAGCTTTTTATCAAATTGAAATCATACACCGCCATCACCTATCTACTGAATTGGTTGATATTTGGGTTGAATTGAGTTAAAACTGTTTTCAACCTTTAAGCTCCAATTGATGGTCTAAATTCCAACGTAAAAATATTAAATAGAATTCATAAAATACTCTGAAACCCTTGGCTTTATAAAAAGGTTCTCGTTGAAATTGAATTTGATAACACCACTTAAAACATTATTCTGTGCACTTGTCTTTACTAGAGAATGGCGTTGTTATTTGGGATCCGTCTACTGCGAGCAGTATGAACCAGTTAGAAAGAGTACCTACAACGTGCATCTTTAAGTTTTGCTGCTATGGTACCTTACATTGACCACTTACCCTATTAGTATGATCCAGTACTTAACTGGTTTGGATTAACAAAACAATCTTAGCTGATAGATATGTATTTGCAAACCAAGTGCTCCAACGTAACCTCATAAATGACTCTCTTGACCGTCCTGTATTGTTAAGTCAACTTAATTTTAAAATCCCTAGCAACTCCCGAGCAACTTACCCGTTTTTCATACCTCTTTGCACTACAAATTATTTTCATAATAATTCAGAATGGTGCATATTGCTAATGAGGATCCAACGTTTTCTTTTTCGTGATAGTAACACGTGCTTATGTTAATGTAATTTATATGCACTTTTCTGTTATTATTATTATTATTATTATTATTATGTATATATATTTTTCTGTACTTTGGGACATAGCCCGTTTTGAAATTAAAATAAAAAATTTAATTTAATTAATTACAATTTGATGTTACATGTAGTGAGACACTAAAGAGAACTGAAGCCAGAACAGCGGCAGTTAACAGTAGTTATTTTTCTTCAGACATCAACAGAGTGAATACAGAAACTTTCTCAACAAGTTCAATAGTAGTGATGGTAAACCATCACATAAAAGTTTTGGCCATTTTTATGGATCAAACTATATTACGGATCCTGACGGTTCAAGAGCTCCTGTAAAACATTTAATTAATTATTTAAGAATCCACTAAAATGATAATAAACAAAATAAAACACATAAATTAAGAATAAATTAAATGCAATATATATGGGTACCGTGTAATATAATTACAATTTTAAAACATATAGTAACTGTTGTTTTCAGTTTCAATATACACCTCCCAATCAAGTCCCCGCCCATAGAAAAATCACCCATAGACATGACATATTAGACCGGAACTATCACTGTGTGGGATACAGTTACCATTATACAGTCTCGCAACAATGTCGGTCTATGCTTTAACGTGTTTGCTCTTTATAATTGGTGAATGTTTAGCATATTATAACAGTCAATGGGTGCCAAGTTTTTACTTGGGTACTTATCCTGAAAGGTTTCATACGTTAAGAATGTCAAGGGGATCATGTATTGTTTCTTTGAACACTCTTAAAAGCAAACATTATAATGTAGAAATACCTTTAATCAACGGAACGACACCAGCAGGTTTTTGTGCGATACTGTTAAATAGCATGGAGAACTCGAGTCTAGCCATATCAATAGAACAAGGATTGACAGATATAAACAACAGTTTAATGAATCAAAGCATCAGACTATTTAGAGTTAAGAATGGGAATTTGAAGCTTATCCAAGAGTAAAGTGCCATTCATAATATTAATAATTATGTTTATGTTTAATTTAATCATATTGTTTCAGTGTATGTGGATCGGCTGATGTCCCTGGTTTAACATTGGCCGAATCGAACACTGCTATACTACTAATAAAAGCAGACCAAAGTATTAATTTTTCATTAAGCGTGTACACTTATCAGTCTTCAAATATTAACATGTAAATAGACTATTTATGATAAAAATATCTTTTCAATCAAAATTTTATTTTGTATTTCATAATTTTAATGCTTTATGAATAGGTATTATAATATAATATATCATGTAAAATACTAAGATATATAATAAATAATTATCAATAGTAGAATCATATGTTGTATTTATTTAAATAAAAACATTTACAATTGAAATCAATAATGTATTATCATTGATTTTGTAATATTGTAATATACTATAATTTAGTAAAATTTGCCAAATTGAATTTTATTGAAAAAATCAAGTGTCAAAAAAAAATCTAAACTTATGTTTTGATTATTTACTGATGAAGTTATTTAAAAATCCAAATAATAAAGTTTCTTTTACCTGTGATGTCAAGTACAAATTATATACTATATATAAGTTGATATGCATAATTGAATAGGTTTAATTATTTTACAAAATTGTTTTAATAAATACAATTTTAAATATATTAGATAAATATACTGATAATGAATTTAGCATTGACAATTTAGTCTATGATTCGTTACTTTAATATTTTGTACCAAAAGAAATTAATGAAGAAAATAAAAATGTACTTTGAATATTTTTATGAGGCAGTTAAGAGGCCGTTCTGGTAGCAAAATTTGACCGTAAAAACATGCAAACGTACTTCCCATTTTCCCCAGGCCTTTGTTATAATGTTATCCAAATAAGTAACTTCAATTCAAACTATTTGTCTATTATATTAATATGAGTGAATTCAATAAATCAAAATAGTGAAATCAACTAACTGGTTGGCAATAACATAACTTTTCTCACAAATCGCAAAACATTACTATTAAAAGTCGAGGAACATTCTTAATGTTTTACATTTGGTATTCCTAAGTAACAAATACTTTTAAGTCTGAATAAAAAATGTGTTACATACTTATATACTAAACATACATTAAACTACTTAGAATACAGTTGTATTTTTTATTAAAAGAATATAAAGTATATAAATATAACAAACAATTTAAAACAGTATAAGCAAATAAGATATTTATTTATAATATAAAAAAAAAAAGAATGATATCATATGAGAAGATACACCATCCAGTGATAAAACCAACGTGTTTTCTCTTACTTTAGTTTAGTAGGTATCTACAATATTTTCTTTTTGGTCTGCATGGAAAATGTATGAGTTATGTGTTTGATGAAATTTGTTATATTTATGGATTAGTTTAAGTCTGTAATTTTAAATAACATTTTTTTATCATTTTTAGTGTCTGTCTAACTAGTTAACAATTTAATTTTTGAAATCGATGAAGATAATGGAATTCCACACATACTTTAAGCACATACTATATATGTAGTACAGTGGTTCCTAACCAGGGGGGGGGGAATATAATGATGATGGGATTACAAAAATAATTATGTTATGTTATTTTACAATGTGTAAAATTGAAATCACTCTATTAGTTTTCAGATTATCGGGCATCGATAACAATTATATATTAGGTATAATTAAAGAATCAATAGATCGAGATATTATTTGTACTTAATGTTATTATTTTTGTTTTTATATTCAGTATTTTCTTCTTATACTTAATATTATTACTTTGTAAGTTGATTTATAATACATTTTTAAAATGATGAAAATAATAAAAGTAAATAGTTGTATATTGTATAAAATATAGTTATTTTGTATGTTTTATATTTACCGCTCACAAAAAAAAAAAAATTCGCCTTAACTCTAATTTAAGAGGGGGGATGAGATTTTAGTGAATTTACAAAAATGGCAAATAATAAAAAAAGGTTGGGAATCGCTGATGTAGCATTTACCATATTATGGAAAGAGATCAACTAGAAATATTGTACAATACAAAGTTGGAATGGTTTTGCCCAACCCAACATTTTAAATGTTAAACCCCATATAGGCATTTATGAATGTATTTTTTAAATCACTTTTATTCATTTCTACATACAGTAGGGTCTCGATAACCCGAAAGAGATTGGCGAAAGGGGTCGTTCGGATTAGCGATTTGTTCGGATTACCTTTGGCTTAAAAAAAAAACATCAGTTTTATTGTAATTTAAATTATAAAATTTTATTTTCATCTATATTAAATATTAATCATGTGAAAACTCGTAATTTCAAAAGACAATGAATATATAAAAATATTAACTATCATAATAAACATAATCAAAAATTGTATTACCGGAAAATATTATTTATAAATTCATATGTGCATATTAGATAAGATAAGATAATTCTCAAGTCCGTTCGGATTACAGCGTCTTTCGGATTAGCCTGTGTTTAGATTATCGAGACCCTACTGAAGTTATATCATGAGTAACATTTATATTTAAAATGTTTTTGCAAATATTTATTAAAATAATAATTTATATTATTTTTATGGGCCTAAACAAATTTTTACAACATACTTCCATTATTACTACAACACAACCTTTTAAGAGGATTCACATGTTGTGTCTCTGTATTACAAAAGTGTAACGTGGCCAATTGTATGTTCGGAATAATCAATTTAACTCTGTTATGATTCATATTGGAGCATATTGACCTATTATCAAATTTAGAAGAAAGAATATTATCTAGTTAACATCATAGGATTTTTTTAAATATTTTAATATTGCTATTTTTCCATGTTACAAGTTTGTAAGACAGTCGCAACACATGCAGGCATAGCATCCTCTTAAAAAACACTGTTCTAAAGATTAAAGACATCATGCTGAGGAATGAAAATGCATTGGTTAATTTTATAACAATAAAATTTAAAAATCCATAGTAAATTGTAACTTTTAAAAATACACCTTTACATTTAATGGCTAATGAATATTACAATTTCATATTATCAAATAAGTCAAAATTAAAAAAAAAACATTCAGAGAAAGTGAAAACAGCAGTCGAATAAAAAAAAGGTACCTATATAATCAAACATAAATACATTTTACATGATTATTTAATTAGGTATGTTAATTAACCCTCATATTTTCTGTAGATAGTACTACCCATATAAGTAATAATTTTTTTACAAGAGTTGCTGACTGCTGTTATAAATAATATATTGTTTAACTTTCACTATTTAGTTTCACACATTGTGTTACAGCTTTAAACTAAATATTACTTATTTTAGCGAGTAATTGATACAAAAATGATATTTTCATACGAAAAAATATATTTTATTAAAATCTTAATTATATTCTTTAATTTGTATAGCAATAGTATGCAGTTAAATTTCAAATGGCCAGAAAGTCATTTACAGTTAACTCCATGTCATTCAACATACACAATATCTTCAGGGAATTATGTGTTGGACTATGATTCAAAAGTAACTGGGAATTACCACAGTAAGTATTACATACATTCTACAACTAAACAACTGAAGTACAAATAATCTATTTATTTTCTAGACGATTGCACTTTTTTAATAGAAGGTCCACCAGGAACACAAATGCAGTTAAATGCAACTATTTCAATATTAAATAAAATAAATAATGATGAATGTATGGACTGGATAAAATTGTATGATTTCTATAGTAATACAACATTAGTACCTTTAGGAGAGTAAGTGAAAACGGGGCAATTGATAAACCCAATACTAATAATTAAATTAATAATGATTATTATATATTTGTATTTTAACAGATATTGCGAATCAACAAATTTAACCAACTTATTAACATTTTCAAACATCATGTACATTATTATTAATATTTCACCGGACGATTTATTCAAATTAAGCATAACGACTTAAGTTTGGAAAGTTTTTAAAAATAATAATAATAGAACAACTAAATAATATTTTTTAATTACATTTTGAATACTTTTTTAATTATTGTTTTTATTGTTACTAAACTAAATTTTTGTAATAAATTTCCAAGAACTAAATGTTATCATCAATTTTAATATTTGAATTATGTAATATACAAATGATTACATTTCATATTATATCAGTTTATAAAATAAATAAATATTATTCAGAGTATTTTAAAATTAACTATGATGTTATGGTATACTACTAACAGTTTTGGCGATAGCACAATGAAAAAAAAGATTATAACTGCGTTAACGCCAAGTACATTATACTTTTTATAGTATGACACAGGGCTTACCTACACAAATTTATCTGAGCAATACACTAAAATAAAAACAAATATAATAAAATATATTTTTTAGTAAATTATCTTTCTTTTTATATTGACCCTTACTCCTTAGTATTGGTAAAAGTTATCGAAACTCAATGCATAAGCAAGAATATTGGAAGTAAGAATTGTATTTAATTATATTATAATACTAAACATAATAATTATAGCATGTAATTGACTGTTATAATTTACAAATTTTGTAAACATTATTATGGACTAAGCTAAAATGCAGTATCTTATACAAGATTTTTTTCTTTGTATCCGTCTAATTATTAATTATTTATTTTAATCTCTTTTCTATGATTCATGTTGTTTAAACTGTTAAATATTACCTGTACTATTTTATTGAGCAATATTACAGACTTACTGCTAAGTTCAACAAAATGAGTAGGGACTAAATTCTAATAATGTGCAAGTCATGATAACCCAGAATTACAAATATATTATTATAGGACTTAAGGACCAGTACTCACTTAAAAAGTTAATGATTTTTGCATAAGAGTAGCGGTCTTCATTAAACTTTCTCTTTCATTCTTAAAAAATAACAACATAGTTTCATCCACTGGTTCAGACCATCGTGATACTTGTTTCTTCAATGCTGACCGAAACTCTTCTTTTACTCCTTTACCAGCTCCTCTGGTTGATATTCGTGGACTATGAATACAAATTATTATTTAATTATCAGCTATATTTTTGGAATGGAAAATATAAATTATGAATAAAAAATAATTATTTACCTTAATGAAGAAGCTACACATGGAAATACATTTAAGACACATTTATCATTTTCCATAAACATAGCCATAAAGTGTTCAATGATATCTATGTTAGTAATATAAGATGAAAATTGAGGATATGTAAACAAAGGCAATTTTCCTATGTGGTTATACATATCTTCAGCAATTGCTTTGCCTTCAGGCCAAACCATTTGTGACAAAACTAAAAGATGACCAATAAGAATATCACTAGTTGATGGATAATTGGAAAGTTGATTCTAAATTTAAAAAATAATTTATTTTTGTATGTTATATAGGTAGTGTAAATTTAATCCAACTGTCATAATTAATAAATAATGCCAAAAATATTCAAATAAAACCATTAAAATCTAAGTAATACTCACATAGAGTATTTGAACCATTATCTTCACACAATACTGTAAAACGGGCAATTTTGCTATTGGAATATAATACATTTCTCTATCTTCGGGTGGATTAGCTATTTCTGTAGACACACTTCCATACAAGCTGAGACTTTCTATTTGATCTATTACTTCAAAAATGTGCTCGGTACATTTCTACAACAATAATAGAATAAGTATGTTTCTAACTTTTTAAATAATTGATGATAACTTTTGAACAAATTACTAATTATATACCTTGAACTCTTGAACACAATAGTATAAGGTCACTAATGATAATGATTTTCTAATACTTTCATGAACTGGTACAGCTTTGAAAAGATTCTTGTACTTCCCTTGATAAAATTCAATATCATTAAGGAATTGCCCAATGAATGTATCAACTTTAATTTGAGCACTTAATTTCCAATAATCTACAAATATTTTGAGCATTATTAAATATAGTGAAGAACAGAGCACAAATATTATCTCGTTCTACCAGTGCACATTGGTTCTTTAGTAGTAAGTAATTCCCAATAGTTGAAAGCCATTTTAAAATGATCAAGAACTTCAGATGAGTCGTCAGTAATACCAATCAATGATTCATTTAATTTAGTGGCTATGGAAAGTACAGCTTGTTTCAGAGGAGGTTTATTAATTTGTACTTTTGGACCTTTAATTGCTTTAACTAACAAATATTCTAAACCATTTTCTAAAAAAAAAAAATAATTACACTACATATTAGTTATATTATTATATTATATTAAATGGCATACTAAAATCTTGGTTAACCATAAGTTAATTAACATTAAGAGCAAGATTATATTCTACAAAAATATTTTAAAAATTAAGCCTCGTTAATTTTCTTTCAAAACAAATACCCAAATAATAAAATAATTACTAACCTATTTTTAATGATTTATTATAATCAAAAACATGTCTCACAAATAATATCATCCCACAAAACACTAATTGCTTGCTAAGTTCGCTGTTATTTGAAGCAATTACAAACTTTTTTGCAAAACTTGATACTTTTTTCCAAGCTTTACGTTTATCACTAAATTGTAATAAAGAAATAATTAACAAATAAAATAATAAAAGGTTAAATAGGTAAATTATAAACATTGGAAAAATTACCTTTGACTTAGAACAGATCTTAATTCCCATGAAAGCTTTTTACCAATACGTTCACATGAAGCAAATAAATCTTCCCAAGGTGTTTTGATATAATTTTCAGTATCAGGCAAGTTCTATAAGAAATGTTACTATAAAAATTAATGTTAATAATATTGGATAGTAAACATGTTACCTGTATAATAGAATGTCCTCCCATAGCATATGTAATATAAAATTCAGTAGTTTTTGTTAACATTTTATAGAGGTTTTTCTGATTTAATGTACTTGTTGATACTAATAAAGGACCAAGATCACACACTGCAAAAATTAATATTAGTATCATAATATAAATTTTTACTAAAAAATATAATTTATGTTATTGAAACTAAAAAATTAAATTAATAACTAAATACAAATTAAACATAATCCTATTTTTATTACCTAAAATCTTTCTGTAACAGTTTATAACATTTGGACATTGATTGTGTTTTTCTGCTGTTATCATTGTATCCATTAGCTTTAACTAAAACAGTTAAATTTAATAATACTACTATTTAATCAAATAAATAAATAGGTGGATAATATAAAAATATTAAATAATTTGTACAATATTTTTAGTAATGGACCAAGTATTTTGCTTTAATTATTTAACATTTCAAACATGTTGTAGAACAGTACACATTTTTTACTAACTTAATAGAAAAATGAGATGAACAAGATAGTTAATAAAGGTTAGTTTTTTCCTGAAATTTTTATGATTCATTTTTTTGTCTTTCACAACTTAAATTTTTATACTTGCAACCAAAAGGCCGATTTGTTGTTTATCATTACTTATTTTGATTAATCTCAAAATGAATTAAAATTTTAAGTCAATCATTGGGAAAAAAATATAGCACACTATTTGTTTTCTCTTCCTAGCCCATGTGTAATTTAGCCAATATGCATTGAAAGGAACCAACATATGTTGTTAGCACATAAATTATCAAACTAAAAGTTGAAAATATTTTCTGTGTTTAAAAGTTGAAAATGTTATCTGTGTTTATACAATAGTTGTTTATAATATTTCTGTTTTAAAAGGATGCGTTTATTTTTAATTAAAATATTTTACATAATCACAACTTGCATAAAAATTAAATCATAAAAAACAAATCAACACACAAACACAGATAATGTTATTAACATGGATAGTAGGTAATTTTATTCTAATAAAAACACACGGTTGATTTAACAAATTTGGTATGTTGTGCGTGGGTCAGACACGTATCTTTCTTTCTCGTCCAAAGTTCCTATTTTAATGTCACATTTTTTTTTTGTTCCAATAAATATAATTAATATCAGTTTTATTAAAAATATTGTTAAATAATACTAATAATAATTAAGCTATGTGCTGTTTATTATATATACTACTAGTACTCTTACTGCTAATTCAGTTGATGATTGAGGAAAACGATTTAAAAGTAAAAGTACTAGACGACAATGTTCCATTGTGTCTTCACTTCTTTCAGCACATACTGACAATAATTTCTGTTGAATAGCTATAACAAAAAATATTAAATATAACATTTTGCAAAACATATGATTAAATTAATCATCCCTTATGAAATTGATTTTATATTCATTCAATACAATACTTAGGAAGATTAGGCTGAGCAAAGTAAATTAGAATTTCATAGTAAAAATTGTATTATTTAACTTACATAAAGGGAGTGCAGAAAACATTTCTCTAAAAAATGTTTGTTCTTCTGATAAACAAGATGTGTCCATACATAATATTGGTGTAAAGTTTTCAATCTCTTTCCAGAGAATTGCCTCGTTTGGAAAATCTTCGAGCCTAAACCATAATCAATGAATAAGATATGAAAAATAAAAAAATAAAATTCATCTCACAGACAACTGAAGCATCTAGCTGCTCTTTGGACACAGCGTAAATTTTTCTCTATTTCATAACATTCAAACTGAAAAAACACATAAAAAATATAAAATGCCTAACAGTATTGGATGATGTAAAGGTAACGTACGTGTATTCCAAAATTATTCGGAAACATTGATTTAGCTGTAAGTAACCATGATCTACATCTAAAGCAATCGGTCTCAAGAAAACTTTTAGCTTTTGTCATCATGTACTCTTCGTCAGTGACTGACACTTCCATAGGTTCCATTTTATCTTAACTATAGGTACTTCTTTGGACTATATTTCCAATTATGAATTGTAAACGGTAATGTTTGTTTGAATAAAATATACAATATTACAATATAACATAATATGGTAAATGGTCGAGGAGCTTTTTAATATAATGTCGCAGATTATTAAATATTAACTATTTAACTACAGTTTTTAAAAAAATAATCTGTAAAGATAACTCCGCCAGAGTTAGCTTCTATACCACTGATAAGAGATTGGTTATTACCAGTTATATTGAGTTGCATTTAATACATTTATAAGGGGCACTTTGGTAACGGTGTCTTAATGACATCAATTCCAAAGCCTAAGATCTGTCTGTAATGCAAATCATTAATTATGATTTATAAATTATAATTAATCAATAATGAATAATTATTATTTATTATTAATAAACGCGTGTGCTCCATGCTATATTCAGCTAAATGCTCAGTCAACAAATTTGCCAATTTTCGGACAATCACAATTCTCCGACAAGACCGCCACGCAATCTCAGTCACCGCTTTGACGTTTCGAACGCGAAGTAGCCAAATTCGGGATCTTAAGCGTAGTAAAAATAAATGATAATTAAAAAAGTACGAGATGAATAAGAGATAGGATCTAAACCTGATAAGTGCATAAGAGGCGAACCACGTGGTCTCGTTCTTCACTTTATTCTGTTTGAAAAAATAGGATATAAATGTATTATTTAATATGCAAAAACGAAATAAGTATTATAATACAGAATATCAAATTTACGAATTTACGAATCATCATATTATAATGTGAGTAGAGACTACCTATATACATTACCCTTCAACCCCGAGAAGTAATTCATTTATATCATGAACAATATAATACTCTGATATTCATTGGCAAAAAAATTTGCGTCTCGAAACGAAAGAGGTTACATGAAGCCATGAAGTGAAGATTTAGAATAAATCCCGGACGAAAAGAGCATTTTGATTAAAATTGGACTAAAAGCAGAGTAAACTTTGTATAGTAAACTGTAGGTAAGTATAAGGAATAGTAATCGAATTCAAGTGTAATATAATATTAATATAGTAAATACAAAATAACAATAGTAATAATAATTACATTTTCAAATAAATATTAATATTATATTTGAAATACCTATGTATAATATTATACGTATAGTATAATAATACAATATAATTCAATATGAATGAAAATTTGATACAATATTTTGTGTTTTCAGACTCTTTGGGTCATAAAAAATGAACCCGAACTTTTTGTCCAACTTTTTCGAAATAGAATTTTTGTCCCCGGACTTTTTCGCCGATTTCAATTTAGGATAGATAAACAGTATTATACAATATAAAATATAGTTAATCAATACAATTTTACTAACGCGTCACGCGTGAATTATTTTATTATACTCGTATAATACACTTTTAAATTGTCAGTGGGATAAGAGTAAATAATTGTTGATTGTTCAAAACGTCTATGAAAAGCATGATGAAACCGGAATTGACAAGGTCGCCGAAGAAGTCGTTGAATCAATAATATTGATTGTCCGCGGTGATGCACCGTTGGCAGAGTTGCAGCCAGTCGAATCCGCTGAAGACTGCTGGGCAATGCGATGCAGGACGTGCATGAAGAGAACATAAGGGAGCTGAAGTATTCAACGTCTTCGGTGAGTGACTCAGTAACTCCGAGTTAGTTGGCAGGCTGAATCCTGGTTAGGATCCGACTACATTTTGATTAACTGCCTGACATGTTGCTGCCAGAGTTTTGTGGACGCGGAGTTACATTTTCAATGTTTGACCTTAGCAACATCCGACTCTGTTTGTCAAGTTCGTCTATCTGCAAGTCCTATATGATTTTCGTCAACTCCGTTTTTCAAGATTGTCATTCTGCGACTCGCGAGCCCAATACTTTTTGTAGTTCGAGAACTCTTGAGGTACAAAAATATCCTCCTATTCTCGAATTCCAAACATAATACGAGAATTTAATAATTTATATTATAAAATGTATTAATTATTTATGTACTTATTAATAAAACTGTTGAAATTCAATAGTTAATATATTATTCTATGTTCTGTTTATTTAAAATTCAAAACCTATCATTAAAATGTGTATCTAAATTATGCCATTAACTTTTGTTATGTACTATAGTCAGTGGTTAGGTAACTTAAAAAAGTTCAGAAATATGTTGAATGTTGATATTTATTTTATTCACTAAATTGTTAGTTTAGAATTGTAAAATGCTTAAAAATATTTTATTCTAGTTTGTTTTTTAAAGATCTTCTTCTATTTATTTATTTGGTATTAAAAAGTCAAGGCTCTGTTACAATAAACACGATTAATGATAATAATGGCTATTGCTGAATATTTTTGAAATTAGGTACCTGGGTATACATCATAGACATATTAACTAATTAGTTAATATGTCTATGGTATACATACTATGCATAATAGATACTTATTAATTAATTTAAATAACTTGTCCCAATGTTACTACATAGTATATAATTAAAATTTAATAATATAATACAAATATGTAATGATGAATAATTATCAATAATCATTATCATAATCTATTCTTCTTAAATCTTGAATTGTTTCGAAAACTAAGTTTATTAAAATCCATATGTGCATAGGCAATTATAGTATATGCAGTATTGCGGTTAAATGCCACATAATAAGTGATAAGCGGTAAATGCATTGGATGATAAAATGGGTGGTCATCGCATATCATGCCTTTAAAATGAGTCGTAATATGACAAATAATATGTTTATAATTTTATATAGTATACTCATAGACCTTAACTATACTATAAGCAGACTCGGTTTTCGGATAAATTATCGAGTAGGTGAAAAAATATGAAAAATAGTATTCGTAATATGTACTGAAATACTTCATGAAAATAGTATTCCGAATAAAGCATTTTAAATACTTTTTAGTTTTTGTTTTAAATATTAAACCAATGGTACTTTTCTTCAGAAAAATTTGAAAATATCGCCAACATATATGATTTAATAATATTAAATAATATATAATTTATGTTGTTGACATTTGATTTAAAATGTGTATAATATTGCAAAAATGTCCAAAAAAACAAGGAAAATACTTATTGTGAATACAAAAAGTATTTTTTTTACAGTATTCCTAGTTTAAAGGTCTATGATTCTAAATAGTTAATCAGATCAACTTTGCAAAAAGTATTCGGAAATCGGAATTTTGAAATGTAAGTATACAAGAATTTTATAAAAATTTACTTTTCAGGGTTTTATTATGTTTGATAACATTTATTGATAAGAATTATGTTTTATCACAATTCACGATGCATATTGCATACGATTTATACTAATAGGTAATTAATATTGAAAATCAAAATAGTAAACATAATTTATAAATTTAAATATCGTACTAAGCATCTCACGACTAACGAGCATCAAGTATGATCTTATAATATTTGTACATCTACAGTTCAGCTTTACACTTTGTACTTTGACCTATAATAAGATCATCTGGTTGAATTGTAAAATGTCTGAAGCTAAAAATGGAGATTCAAATCCTTGCTTGCAGGTAATATTATATAATTTCAGTTATAACTTATTAACATATATGTTATTACCATGGAAATCTGCTAGAGTCTACGATATAAATAAGTTTATGGTTAAAATACAATATGTTACACAACTATAATAATATCTTGTTTACCCACTTTCAATGATAATACATACCTATCATTAATTACTAAATTTAATTCATCGTGTTTTCAACGTTAAAAACTAGAATACTTTACGTTTAACTGTATTTTGCTGTACAGGAACAAAGATTATCATTCAAATGCTTACAAGATAGTTTTGGAGATAAATCACAATGTGAACCGCAAATAGAAAATTACAAAGACTGCAAAACATTTTGGGTATGTTTTTATGCACAAAAAATAAAATTAGTACCAAGGAACGCCCGCAGCAATGTAGCTCAGGGGGGGGGGGGCAAAAAATTGCAAGTACCTAAATACATATGGGAAGATTTACCGCTACATTTTCATCTACTCATACTTAGTAATAGTATCGTTTATAATTTTTAAAAAATCAAAACTAATTTAAGTAAATATAAAATTACAGTAATGACACTATTATTTCTAATATTTCTAATAAAAAACATAATAAAATTTAAACAAAAAACAACTTTATTTGATTTGAATTTACATATTACATCATTACATGTTACATATTACATCATATTTATACATCATAATATTGCATTTTATTCAAAAAGTAATTGCAATCTCCTTTTATTAGAAACAAATAAATTAATTGAATTATCAATTTACTTTTATCATGATTTAATTAATAGTTATATTCATGAAAATAAAAAAATAAAAATAAAACTTATTGTGTCAATAATATTGGCTATTTATTATTTAAATATCTGGGTATTCTTGTAAGTTGTATTAACTGAAAAAAATGCATACTTTAAGTATGAAAGTAATTAATTTAACTCCCAAAAACATTTGTTATGGTGGTAGAATGTAATTTTAATAAAATATTAGCAAGAAATTAAACATAAATAATCCAATATAAGAGCTTACTTTTTTTGTTGTATCATTTGAAAAATAAGAGTCAAGTGTCCTCATTTTCTTCTTTTTAGGAACTGAATCCATATTTGCTCTTCTTAACAAATTTTTTTATTATTTTAACTTAAAAATTGGTTAATTTGTAAATTGTAGGGCAACAACGCTAACAACAGTCAACACTCAACAATACATGGACTTTGAAAACACAATAATTTGTGTATTAATATTATCGTTTGATAATGATTTATATATAGTAATTGCACATTTCTACTCATGATAGCTGAACACATTACCCAGAATATGATAAATGTAATAATAATAATGTCTGTCAAACGGTTTCTATTTCCGTCGACGACAGGCTGCTTTTATATGACTTGTTAGATACAAGGATTGTCGCACAGTCGCTAAATACTTAAGACCAGCTTTATGTAAAAACACTTCTAATTTTGTAACTGACAACAAATCTCAGTGGGGCAATGGCCCCCACTGGCCCCCCCTTCCGGGCGTCCCTGATTAGTACTTATTATTTTTCCTTTTCTTTTGAACAATTCCATTTAAATATTTTACGATGCATAATATCATATAGACATATTATCTATGTAACCTAGACAAAAATATTGATTTATATTTTACTTTCAGTATAACATTTATAAAGAAAGGAAAACCAACAAAATAAGGCCATACATGCCATCATTAGAAGAACGGATAAAAATTAAGAAGGAATACATGAATGGTCATTAAAACAAAAATATATTATAACTAATAATATGTTTATTATAATATATTGTTTACTATAATATTATCTATATATTTTTAGTGTTCATAAATATATGGTTATAACTTATAATTATGTATTTTTATTTAATACTTGAATAAGGTTTAAATAAGTGTAGTATTGTTTTACTTCAATAAAAATATTTAAAAAAAAAAAAATGTTTATATTATTATAATTAAATAATATTTGCATGTATAAATAACAAAATACATAATGGAAAAAAAATCAACATAATAATATTGTATTGCTAATATAAAAAAAGTTTAATCTTAAGACAAACATATTTCAATTTAATATTCATCTATTGTGAATAAATAATAAATAAATAGGTAGCTAACATTTTAATTAAAATACTTAAGTATTTATATGATAATGAAAGCTTATATGACTACCGCCTTACAGTTTTAAAACTCGTACAAATACTTGGAATTAACTTAATCTTTAGTTTAAGTTTCTATGAATGAAGGATAGCATCATACGCTTGGAAAACTCCTTGTGCAACTTCCATAGCCAGTAATTTTAGAGATAGCTAAACATAAAAATTTTTCAAGTAAAAATAAAAATAAAATTTTATAAGATTTTTATCAAAACAAATAATGATGAGTTTTATATAATAATATTTTAGTTAGCTAAAATATTTATTTATAAATGTTATAAAATAATTGTTCTTTGAAATAATTAGATGTCATGCATGAAACAAACTACAGTACAATTTTGTTAACATTGGAATAAAATAATATGGACTTGAACAATAAGTTTAATATATTTTTGACGGGTTTCATGAACAAACACCAAACATTTAATAAATCAATAGCGAGCTAAAGGTCCCTTAAACATGATTGGACCACTAAATTTTATTGAACCATTAAATTAATCAATTTGTCATGCAACCTGGCATGAATCTACTAAACTTCATAAGCTACTTACGGTTATGTTTGGATTTCCTGGCTGAATTTTAAGCTCATTCAACACCCAATTACCATTTGTCAACTTTAATGACTGGTATAACATGTCCTGGCCTTCAACGTGTCTTTTCGCTATTGTAAACACATTATTTTGTGACATCTTCAAGACAATAGCCTCTGAAAAATATTAATATCTATAAGAAATAACTGCTAAAGATATTGAACAAAGTAATAAAAAAAATAAACTGGTAAATTTTGGTTAAAACAGAAGGAGACAATCATTTATGCAACTTAAATATTACTAGAATATTAACTGAATGGTTTGAGGTTGTCAAATATTACTTCATACACAATTATTGAACTTATTTTTTACCTGTGTTGCAAAGAACATTTTTTAAAGTGAATTGCACTTCATTTTCTGCAGGTATGTCTTTCCATGTTTTCAAAAACACTCGCTTATCCATTTGACCATCTTCGATAAAGAATACATTCATTGGTATAATACAAGCATAATATAAAACATCAATATTATTTTTTATTGCCACCTATAACATGGTTGTGAATTAAAAATTTATATACATCAATTTTTATTTCATAATTTATTTAAAAGTTAATTAATTTATACTTGAAGATTAGTTATGGGTTCCATTCGTTGAACAAGTCCAGTAGTCGCAAGAGGTAAGCTGGTTTCATAAGATGCCGTAGGCAATAATGGGTTTAATACTTGTAACGGACGAGCTGGTGTCAAGCCAAAACTAAGATGAGAAATATTAATTACACTTTAATTTTCTTATTAATTAACATACATTATACACATGTTTACTATATTTATTATTTTTTCTATTACATGCAATGTAAAATAATAACTGTTAATTGAATAGTGTACTTTATTTTAAAAGTTATATTAAACTAATCAGTTAACACTTCCTGACTTTTAATTTAATTTTAAAAATTTTAAGCTAAGTGAGGAATGTGTATTTCAGTATTTGGTTGTATAATTAAGGTTATTGACAATATTATATAACCAACAATACTTTTGAAATTGCATATTGTTAATATCAATATTTGTATCATGTAGAGGACTACTGAATTTTATACAAACAAGAGAAAATTAGTTTACATTTAATGAATAAAACGTTTTAAAAATTCTAGAAATATTAAATAAATACCACCAATCTGAAAAAATATTTTTTAATAATAATAAGATTCTTCACCTAAATTTATTGAATTTATATTTGAACAATGTAAATTTATTTTAAATAAAGGCAACACAACAGAATTTCTTCAAATAAATAAAAAAATAAATAAAATATTATATTAATATCTTATAAATTAATGTTATAATTAATTTATGTTTTTATGTTATATACATTTTTAATTATGATTATAAAGCCTGGATAATTTTACTCAAGTTCAATCATTTGGTTAGTGAAACACACAAATCAGCTTAGACAATTAATTGTGTAAACCAGCCCTAACATTATAATGACTGAGAGCATAAAAAAACAAATTGAATGTTTTGAGAGAGAAAATAACAAAAATATCTTCTGATATTGTACATTGTATTTTTTAAATTATTTATCAAATAAATACTTACGAATTTTTGTTTAACTGAATAGCAAATCCACTCATTGGTTGCATAGCTTTGTTCTTGAGAGTCATATCCATACTAATTTGACCATTTCTAAAAAACAGTAAAACTATTAATATATGACCAGTAATTAAAATAATATTAATATTTTTAGTTTCAAAACATACTTCCTTGAAAATGTTCCCATAATTTCCAATCCTTTGCCGTTTTCACTAGGTAGCCAAAGTTGTTTAGGGGGAGAATAAGATACTGGCGTGGGTGTAAAACCAAATATGTCACCCAGTAAACCTGTATTTGATGATGAAGCTGCTGGTAAGTCAGATGTGGTTAATAACGAATCGAGCCCAGAAGCAAGTAAATCAACAGAAGGCGGTTGAACAGATGTTGGAACAACAGCCGGAGTAGTCAGGTCCATACTAAGAAGATCTCCAATCAACGATTCTTGTGGTGCAGGTATGACTGCAGCTTGAGGAACATTACTAGCAGATGCATTTTCATTTCTAAAAGCAATGCATGTAAAGTATACACTAGACTGTAATAAGTGGAATGCATACATATATGCATTAAAATTATAATAATTTTTTACCTGGCCGGTAAAGATTTTCGCAATCCTGGTCGTCCTTCGACAAATGCATTTGGTGGCTTATGATAAACACTGGCAAGACTAGAAATATGACATACAAGTTCATCAAGTAAAGTTGGTTCTAAAAGATCTGTTTCCTCAGAAATCAATGGTTTTTCAGCGAGTACAACATCTTTGGCCGCACCTGGATCAGTGGACAGCAATCTCCAGTAAATAAAACCACGATCACGTAAATCAGGATTATCAGAATCTTGGGTAGCCAAACTTAAGACTTGTTGTACTAATTCTTGAGTATCTGTAGGTCTTTTTAAAAATAGTTTAACAATAGCAGTTAATAATTGCAATTGGACTTGAGTATTTTCATCATGGAAACCTTCCAAAAAGCTTTCCAATAGTTCATCAGCATTATCTATACGTTCAGCATATTCTCCAATTATCCAAATCATAGATGCTCTTGCTTCTGGCTCATCAAGTGTGTCCAAGTTTTCACACAATAAAGATATTATGCTTTCGTACTTGTTAGGGTATTTTCGGAATATATCTTTAATAACAACAATTGCTTCTTGAACTACATAGTTCACTTTTGTCTGTATAAGGTCCAAGAGTGTAGACACACAACGTTCAGCAGATTGCTCTACTTTAATTGCACATCGGCCAATTGCACGAACTGCTTTTCGTACAAAATCAACATCAACTTCAGTGGCATACCTAAACACATTTTAATATATAGTGGGTTAAAATAAAAATTTGCTATAGAAAAAATTTACTCTTTTAGTTCTGAAAGAACTTGTGCTATGTTAGCTTGTGATGCTAAACGTATCATAATATCCAGTTTCTCAAGTTTGACATAAATAGGATCATTATATTTCACAAAAAAAACTTTCATTTCATGCTTAAGTATATCGGGCCTCTTTTGCACTATTAAATTAATATTTCTGAGAGCAACATATTGAACCTATGAAATATAAATTCATAATTGTTTAGTTGAATTTTAGACAAATAATATAATATATTATCATATAATTGTATATATTACTTCTGGTTCTGTAGATAATAAAGTAACAAGTGGTGGAGCAAGTTTTTTAGTCAATGTAGTAACAAAGTCAGAATCAGTCGGCAACATTTCCATTAGTTTCATCAACACTTTAATAGCAGACAAAACAACTGCAGCATTGGCATGAGCTAATCGAGGTGTTATTCGTTCACATATACTAAAATAAATACAACCAAAAAACTATTTAATAAATTGATCTAATTTTAAATTAATAACAAAAGCATTAAACATTTATTTAATTCCATGAGACCTAAAGTACTAATAATTATTAAATCATACTTTGCTGTCTCCAAATTTGTGGTTACAAATAGAGCAAATTATTTCATATTTTGGTTTTTTTTAAATAAAATAACCAACTAAAATAATTATTTAAAAACAAATTAAACTAAAATTGGTTTTCAAATAATTGTAAGTTTAAAAATCAAATTATTTCAATAACAAGGCAATATTCTAGAGGGTATATTTATGAAATAACTGTTTACTATAGCCAACAAATGCAATGAATGTGTCAATATTTGTGTTTACAAAATTATAGTAATAGTATACTAACAATATTACAGTTTTTTTTAAAAACTAAACTACTTGTTAGTGCAGAACCAAAGCTATAATAATTAATTAAACAAATATAATTAGATTTTATTACATAAAATCTTATAAAATGTCAATATTGATTAATATTCACCTTTGTGCCTCACGGTCATCTTTTGGGCTGTAATTGGCTAACGAATCAAGAATAAACACTTGACCCCATTCTGTACATTCATTTAAAGCAGTTAAAAGTTTATTAATAGTTTGTGAATTCATTTCAATCAATGGAGAACCAGTTATACTAGCTTCATTCATTTCAGATAAAGCAGCAACAGCATTAGCGACAACCTTTTTTAAAATAAATAATACAAATATAGTTATTTTATTATGCAAGATAAAGATTTATATAAAAAATAAATCACCATAGGATTAGAGTCTGATAAAAGTTCTTTTAATTGTTCCAAAAATCCTTGATCATCAACTAGTTGTGCATTGATGTCATAGAGCTTAGCAACACAAACTGCAGCTGTTTTGCGTACATATGGATCTTCGTCTCGCAAGCATTTACGCAATGGTTCACATAGATATTCAGTTATTTTTTCAACTCTAATGCAACCCATAGTGCGTACTGCCAGAGCACGTATTAAGGGATTTGGATCTTCACAATCCTTTTGAGACATAAAGACAGTATTATTTTTATTATAATATAGCAATAAATAGTAAGAAATATTACCTTAACAAACGTATTGACAGCCATAATAGCCATATCAGGATTACTTTTAGCATAATTCATCAAATACAAATAAACAAGTTTCTTCAGTTCTAAGTTATCGGTCTGCATACAATTTACAACATCAGGAAATAGAGCCGACACATCTTTACCAACCGTCATAGATGCAATAACCTATCAAAAAAAACATCAAAAGTACAAGTATTATAACTTTTGAATAAATGCAACATCATAAATAATTATTCAATGCTTTATTAGACATTTAGTTACAGTTTAATCTGCATGAATTAGGCTATTATATAAAAAGCATTTCATTTTTTTATGTTAATGTTAATTAATAAAAATCTTTACCATAGCAGGAAAACCACACTATCAATAGTAAGTCTCTTTGAGAAAGAAATAAACCAACAAAGAAAGTTCTTTAACTTTAAATTATCACATACGTATTCAATTACATTTGGGATTCTAAATAAATAGAATACAGTTGCAAATATAGTGACAAACTTATCAGAGGCATCAAGGATTCTAAAATAATTAGTCAAAATTATTTGGACCATACTGGTTAGTTAGTAAAAATTGCTCTTTTCCTTAAATTTTTGTACGTTTTTGCCAATTATTTTGAAAAGTACTGGTAATTTTTATCCCTCAAAATGTCTTCCAATTCTTATATAGGAACCATTTTAAGCTCAAAATAGAAGTATTTTAACTGTTCCAAAAAGAGTCCACACACAGAAAAGAAAAAGAAATATTGTTCAGTGCAGAATCTAAAAAGTGGTAACGCAATTTATTTTAGTAGGCTATAAGGGAACAGGACCAGACACAGGGTCAATACAAATTTGAAATCTTGGTAAGCCGAAAAAGTTCAATCTGACCTGCTAATTAGTCAACATTTTAAACTACCTATGATTAAATTATCAGGTAAAATAGTAATACACCCAAATAATTAGTCCAATAGTAATATTGTAAATATTTTTACCTTTTTTACAGCTTCTCTCTTTTTTTCCTTTTTATCGCTATTCAATTCAGACTTCAATTCAAATATTTCACCTTTTTTTGTGGTAGTAAAATATTTGCTGTCTGTCATTTTGATATCTTAACTTTTCTGAAAAAATATATTTTATAGTAATTCAGTATTTTAACTATAATTCATCATTCACTGATAAATAATAGGACACGATCACCTTACTAGTAGGTGCCGTAAATAAAATACTAGTATACACACCAACTTATCTTCTTGAATTAGAGGGGCGTGTGCCAGCAGCAATCTGTTATCGAATTAAAATAAGAATACAATTTTAGCACCAAAATTACTTATATTTGTAAATACTGTAAAAAATATCAATACCAACAACACCTAAATTTAGTGATTAATGTTAAACAAAATGAAGATCAGTACGATTGTGTAGTGTATTAATATTTATTACGGTTATTAATTATTATGTAAGTAAATAATAAGTATGAAATTATATTATTTGATGAACACTATTTTCTAGTCGTCCTCGGTATTCAACACTCGTCACTAGGTACTAGGTAGACAATTTGATAATTGATTGGCGACTTGGCGAGAGTAAAAAAAATCAACATTTATTAAAACTGATAAGTCATTAACATTGATAACACGTATTGTAATTTGTATTTTGTATCCGAAATTCCAAAACGAAAACATAATATTTAGACAGTTGTGTCATCCCTCCAGCGCTGATAGGCAGTGTTGCAAATTGCATTAATTATAAGTTGGTATGAGCACAAAATAGATAAAAATGTAATTTTGTTGTGTCTTCTGAAACACCGCTAGTTTCAAATTTAAAACTAAGATAATCTTCATTGTTTAAAATTTTAGCTTACATCTCAGTATCTTACACAACATACTACAGATTTTAGTAAGTTATGGATACTGCTTTGTAATATTTCCGCCTAGAGAGTGAAAACTTTACAGCACTGCCACTCTTGTTTAATACCTCGGAAAATTTACTGCAGTGGGTTCCGCTTAATGTGATCACTTTGGTGCAGGTCATTTTGATTCTATTAACCGGTTGATTCTATAAAACATTTACAACATTTTTTTCACGATTTAATCTTTTTATACAATTACATATTTATTTATAATTACCTATTTAATGTAACATACATAATAAATGACACAAGTACACGACGCACAAAGATAATTGAATACCTAACATAATAACGTACAACGATATACTGCCATACTAATAAGTTCAAAAATAAAATGGGTTTTATAAGTTAATCAGTTTGAAATACCATAAAAACGTTAAGATTGTTCATAAAAGTGATTCAATTATCCAGTACTTAGTGATTCTAATAAAAGGTCAATTTAACATTATAGTAACATACAATTTGGTTTGGGATTTTCATTTTTGATTCTAATAAACGGTTAGATTTAATAAACCACATTATCCTCTTTACGGCTAAATTACATAATATGGGTTGTTTTATGTTTAAAAACAAATAGTCAAACCGATATACCAATACACCGTTCAAACACTAAACAGTACAACGATAAGTAATAAATCAATAATCATGGGTCGTTTTTATTCCTCATTATTCAATTTACAGATTTATAATATCAAAATTAATTGAATTAATTAAAAAGATTTTTCAACACTAGTTCCCACATCCCACCCAATGTAAATGCCAGAAACTTACATTTTTAATACATCGTTATTCATTATAAAACACTTTTTTTTAAATATATTAGTGGTGGCGCTATAAAGTTTTCACTTGTCCGGGCGGGTATGTAACAAACTATAGTTGGTACCGTAAATTAAACTAATATGTATGAATAAATAAAAAAAAAATGTTCGGAACTTCCTTATTCTTTTCCTCTATGGCTCTATAGCAGTCATAGGCGTGTCTACGGTGACAGCCTAGGGTGCCAGACTGCCCCTGCAATTTTCGAAAGTCGCCGATCAACCGAGTTGTAAGTCTACATATGGGTTACAACTTTTATTTAAAAAAAAGTCTTTTACGTATTGTTATGATTACTATTTACCTAGAAAGATTTATGTTCCCGACTTCGGAGAACCCTATACTTTAAAGACTTGAGACAGACGACGGTCTGGTCCGCATAATCGATTGATCTATTGTTGAATATTATATTATTATGGTGTTATTTTTTTGATTTGTAGCTCGGTCATGTAATGCTGCGGGGCTGTAGATGAAAAATATTTTTGGAGTTTAATTTAACCTCTTAAAGGTACTGCAAGTACTGTAGATTATTTATTGTAAATAGATAATTTGGACTTTTTTTAGAATAATATACATTTTTCATTGTTACGGTGGGGAGGGGGGCTTTAAAAAAATACGGCCTTTGGTTTATTAAGGTACCTACCTCCGGTTATTAGCTAGACTGTTGCTGCGAATGAAGTCTAGTCACGCCTAGGATAGCAATTGGGGGGGGGGGGGACTGTAGCCCCCCTGTTAGTACATGAAAAGTAACCCGTGGACCTCATCCCCACCCCGGCACCCCATGTATATTCACGTACAAATTTAAGATATTATACAAAAAAAAGGTGGACAAGTGTGTACCACAATGCTGTATAGTGGTTGTCAAGTATGTCATTGCCATGAATGTGTTAGATTTGAATTCAATGATATATGATTTGCATATGAAAAACGATTCTGAGCGAAGATAGTATGTCATCCTATACTATCCTAACTCACATAATTAATCAAATTTAATAATTAAAAACCACTGAATATCAAATTACGTTAAAATTATAAATTCAAACGCACATAAAAATTGGATGGATAATAAATGGAAATAAATGGAAAATGTTAATGTTATTTTTTTTTGAAGAAAACTTCAAGTGTATACGGAAATTAGTTTAAAAGTAACAGCAAAAAAATTTAATTGCGTAAAAATTCCCATTATTCATCCATTTTTTTTTTTTTAACGGTTACTTTAAAAAAAATTAAAATTACAGTTCGATTTAAAATTCTATGATTTAAAAAGGATTCTATATTCTTAGTCTATATTTCTATCATCTATGACCGCGATTTAATATATTTTAAATATCTACAATATTTCAGCGACTATTCCGTTACCATGGTCATGAAAATATGGTTCTAAATATCCATATAATACCTATTATCACTCTAATGTAATAATATTGTGTTATCACTCTGTTCTTGCCGCAACGCTACCGCCAATCAAAGAACACGTAAGCAATCAATGACGTCAACGATTCGTTTGCACATTATCAGTAGCGTTACAATTATCTCCCCGTAGGTTTTAATTTCAAAGTTTGAACAGATAATTAGGTAGAACATTAAAATAAATAAAAAGTATAAAACAATATAAAACTTGACATCGAGCTGTGAACAGCTTAAATGTTTCGCCCTGTTACGAATATACTACAACAGTCAAAATGATACCGTCGAATAAGAACTCACTGATCGGACTTTTATTTTTGTCGTACTGCATCTGTTTGGTGACATCGATCGAGTTGACTTTTGAACTCCAGGACAAAGCAAAGGATTGTTACTACGAAAACATAGAGAAAAATACGTCCACCACCCTGGAGTACCAAGTAAGCGCTCGGCTGGATATAGTAGAGAGATACATTCATTTAATAATTAACTTTGTGTGTTGTGTTCCAATTGCAGGTTGTCACTGGTGGTCAATATGATGTCGACGTGATAATCGAATCCCCAACCAAAGAAATTCTATATAGACAAGTGAAATCACAATTCGACAGTCATACGTTTGTAGCAGCAGTAAGTGGACCATATGCCATTTGTTTTAGTAATGAATTCTCAACGTTCTCGCACAAGCTCGTGTATATGGACTTACAAGTTGGCGAGGAAGACCCTCTGCCCGGTATAGGAGAACAAGTGACTGTTATGACTCAGGTATATTATCATAACTCTTTATTGATCGTAGTGTCGTACCCATCTATAGAATATAAATATTTCATTATGTTATTATAGATGGAAACAACGTCGCAAGATATTCATGAATATTTAAACAAAATTATTGACTATCAAACTCATCATAGATTAAAAGAGGCTCAAAGTCGTAAACGTGCTGAAGATCTGAATCACCATGTAGCGTTATGGTCAGCTACAGAAACTATTGCAATATTATTAGTCGCCATTGTGCAAGTATTTATGTTAAAAAGATTCTTTACAGAAAAATCTCCTACACAAAATCAATATAAGTCAATGTATTAAAACTATTAGGTTGAGAATAAATAATGTTTTTAATAAAATATGATTATTAATTACCAATAAAAAATGATTATCTTTTTTCTCAACATAATATTAATATGTGTTTATAAGAGACTTAAATTGAAAAATATTTTTTGTGTGTTAATTAATATTCTTTTAGCCCAGGGTTTAACAAAAACTATTAAGATTAATATGTACATATTATCGGTTATAATTAATCATAGTTGATTGTTAAAGTGCAAAGAATTTAATATCATCATGCTTTGTACATTAATTTTTATGATACTGTCAAAATCAAATTGTTTACCTACATGATATCAAGCATAATTTATTTAGTTATCAAGAAATTGTAATACTTTTAAAGTTTTAAACAACCATGCATTATTTATAATTATAAGTGTTTAAATGGTTTTCAAAATGTATTACCAATATTTTTTTGTACCATATAATTTATTATTTTGAATTATTAAATTAATGAAATTGTACATTGACTTGAGTCTTGAAGTGTTAAATTGAATTCTGTGTGAAATTTTGATTATTTTATATTTAAATATAAATAATTACTAATAAGGATATTATATTAAAGTTCATTGTTTTTTTTTAAATTTAAATTTATATCCTTCACTTAAATAAAGTACTAACATAATTATTGGTTGGGCTTAAAAATTTAAGTGTTAAGTAAATACAGTGGTCGCCGCTTATTGGACCCACGGTTAATTGACTCATTCGCCTATTAGACTCAAAACGGCTGGTCTTGATTTGCACATATACTAACACACAGCAAAAAATTCGTCTATTCGACTCACACACCGATTAATAGGGTCATTTGAAAATTAGATAAATATATAAAATATGTACATACACTGAACAAACGTGTTATAAATGCAAAATAAGTCGGTACCAGTATTTTGCTTTTATCGCGGAGATAAAATAAATTACTTTTTCACGATAAACCAAGCAGTCGTCAATGTCAATTAGTACGACAGGTAGTGTATGAATAGACGTCGTGTTCAGTGTGTTGTCAGTGTTTAAATTCCTCTTTTTTTAAATTTAAGGATTTTAAAAATTTTTTTGGGTCATTCGCACGATTGACTCATTCGGTTAATGGACTCAAATGGCCAGGTCCCAAAGTGAGTCCAATAAGCGGCGACCACTGTATTACATTATTTAATTTAAAAGGAGATCGACTGATCTAGTTTTGGCCTATAGAAGTGGAGTATGTCAAAATCCATATGTAGTTACTATGTTATTCAGGTCGATATATGTGCGTTTATTCATGTAATCCTACGTAATGCCAACAAGTATAATATAGGTGACAGAGTATTATCGTGACGATGTGATTATCAATTATCTCACAGATGCGGCAGAGCTTGCACTTGTGCTAGGCCAGTCAAGACAGACCTGTCCTTTAGACTCTACTCTTTAGATTCTTAACCTTTTCTGGGCCATGGACCCCTTTGAAGTATAAATTTAAAGATAATACTAAGACTTAATACAAAATTAAATTATTGTGATTAATCATTTTTTATAATAGTTGAAAAAAGTTTTAATGTGACATTTGCTGTTTTTTTATTGCAATATTGCCTTGAAATTTGGAACCTTATTGAACAGAGCAATTTGCACATCGTCCTTAATGTCCAATCGATTTCTTGCTTTAGTTTTAATTGTGACCATTGTAGAAAACCCAGACTCACAGAACTATGTAGTAGGTAGCAAATATAATCAGAGCTCGTGGATAACCTAACCTAACGAACACCCAAATTCGATTACATTTTTTGTTTGAAAACCGGGGCGTGCCATTTTTTTTTATCTCAAATCAATTAATTCATATTTAACAAGGTCTGAATCATTGATATTGCATTTAAGTCTACTAGAAAAGAACTGTAAGTCACCATATTTCTGCTTTCAAGTATGTAAAATCCAAATAATTCCCAAATACATTTTCATGCACATCAAGATTTGCACAAATTTGCGTTTTTATGGAACTGGATAAAGCAATATTACTTTTTGAAAGCTCGTGTTGGAAAGTCTGCTAAATTTTCCGATTGAAGTCTTCTTTTCCAAAGAGAAATTTTATTTACAAATGCGTTTATTTTTTCGGACGCTATGGACGCGTGTCACTGCTCGTCTTTGAATTTATGTATTTACTTATCTTTACTATTATATATTATAAATGTACAGTTTCTACTTTAAAGATCCATCAAATCATTTTATGAATTAATTTCAAACAAATTTGTTTTTGGATTATTTATAAAAAACTGACCCCGACCCGTTGGACCCCCGAGTAACAATCTACAGACCCCCGGTTAAGAACCTATGCTTTAGAGTGTACAATTTCTCAAAATAGCTTAAAATTAGTCTAAATGTTTTGAACATTTTCATTGTGTGCAGACAATGATAGTTCAATATTAATAGTGAAATGTTTCAATATTTTAAGATTAATAGTTCTTGAATAATCACATAACATCAAAAATCATTTGAGGATAAATCGTTATTATATTCAGTATTGTTTGAACATTCAGTGTTTCAATTTGAACTTTAATTTCTCATAGATAAATTTTGTGTCTTATTTACGATAAACTTTTTTCATTTTTTTCCAATAATTATAAGAACTTGTTATATTCTTAAACTTTAGGTATGAATATTAAAAATGTCACATATTTTTAATAACAAAATAATTTACACATTTTTGGGATTTTGATAAATTTTGTAAAAATGAGTGCTTTAAATGAGTATAATGAAACGTTGTGTCTAACTACTAAGTATTATCAATATGATAAGATACAATTTACGAGAATACTAGGAATCTACGAATCTACCTTCAATTCAACTTTTTTCTTAAAAAACAACAATTTGATTATACTTAGGTACATTCGTACATTAATCGCAACATTTCAAATGTCTGTTCATTGCACAAAAAGAGGCAAAGTATTTTGTAAAGTATATCATCTAAGTTTATTCATTTATACATTGTTCCAAAATATAACAAATTCGATTTTGTCAAATCTGGTTGTTGTTCATGATTATTTTGAAGTTTTACTTTGACTCCGAAATTAACAACTATAGATCCAATTTTCTGCTAGAAGTTTTTACAATCCATGTTTAAAATCAAAGAATTTTTACTGCTCCTAAAGGTGGCGCCAGGGCCAGACACACACACAATATCCTCTATATCATTGCAAAAACTATGAGTACATCGATCCGCTTAGGATATAATACTATTACGAAAACTTAATGTGTTACATTATGAGATATAACCGATAATGATTATTATATACTAATGGTTATAGCTATATATAATTGCATGATTTTATAATATATTCGTGGTTACTATATGACTATTGAGTATTTATGTACACAGTACACCTGTGCAGCACGTATTAAACCATGGAAATATTTTATGGACATAAGATTATTAATTATAATATATTGTGTACTATTATAATATTATGTGTTATAAAATGTAATACTTATTATACCTATTGGCTATTACCTACATAAAGATCATAAATTATAAGTTATAAGTAAATAATATATACTAATGTCTAATATTACTACTAAATATGCAAATTATGTTCATTGCACCTGTTTGCACATGCCTATGATAATAATACATTAATACGAGTTACCTTTAAGATAATAATATAGTTGCCCCTTTATATTTGATAATATTATTTATATTTTATACACAAAGAAATAAGAATGTCAAGTAGGTATTTTATGATAAATGTAGCTTGTATTATATGTTATACTAATATAGTTATACATATCGCATATCGCTATGTCATGGAAATCTACAACATTAAAATTATTTTTCCGATCGGATTTGGGATGACTAAGACTATTTTTTTTTAAGGGGCTAGCTAAGCTCTAACCATAATTTCGTCAACGGCGAAATCGATACTAATTCAATATCATATATTATATTTTATTCTCAGAAATATTTTATTAATTTTAAAATTTTAAAATTCTAATAATTTGCTTCAGAATAAAAATATAAGAAAAAAGCTTATATGTACGTGTGTTGTGTCCCTGAATAATATCCTCAAAATTACCTTTACATTTGATGAAAAATCAATTGACTCTAATATTAAAAACAACCAAGTAAAATAAATTTTTCTGAACGTAAAATTCCCCATGTTATGATGCGCATAGTAAAACGGAGTCAAGAAGTCAACACATATAATATGTGAGTTCAACGTCCTCTTAAGTGTCCTAACTTTGTATAGTTTTTGGATTTTTTTCATATTTTTCCACTTGATTATGGTACATCACTCATATTAACAATTTTCATTACTATCGTAGTTAATTTCACTTTTAAATATAAGAAAACCGTCGCTTTCTCGTGATAGTTATTTTACATATGAACTATAACCGTTAAAGTATAAAAGCAGCATATACGCGTTGTGTACTAGCTCTTTGGCCTTTGGGCAGTGGGTCTCTACTGCAAATAATCGTAGAGTATTCTGTTTGTATAATTATTATCAACTTCATTTTATCTGTGATTAGATTTAACAATTTTAATTTTTTAATAATAAATACATATACTATACAATTAGCACAAGTAGGAATAATAAGGTATAGCCACAGATTAGTTAATAATGATTAGTGACACTTAGCTTGGGATTTATACGTAGTTAGATCAGTGGTGTATTTGGAATTTTGAATTGTAGGGAAGTTTCTTTTGGTGCCCCTTTACCCTTCAAAAAAGGATAGATATCACAGTAACTGATTAACTCATAAAATATAGGTACCTACTTATAATTACCTATATTATATTATTCAAAACATTCCTAAATACATATGTCAATATTTTACATTTATTTTTAGACTCTAAACGAAGCAAATAATTTTAGAATATTAGAAAGATGTAGGTATAATAAAAAAATAAGGAAAATGTTGACTATTGATAGAATTTTTATTTTTTTTAGTCAATTTTTCAAAAAATTTATTGTCAGTTAAGTGACATTAAAAGTCCCTCATCTGATCGTCTTTAAACATTTAAAATTTTAAACTTAAAATAGTAATACAAATATACAATACTTACTGTACCGTCTGCCCCAATGGCAAGCCTATAACGTGGCACATTTATTAAAGTAGTTATAGTTTATAGTGGTTATACAAGTAAAGAGAAGAGGCGGTTCTCATCCTTTTCATATCCACGTACCAATTTCACAGTTTGGAAATTGACATGTACCACTTGACCAAATAACGTTTTACTTATTGTCAAAAATGTATATATTATTGTACATGTATGATATTGTATTTTATTAGGAACTACAAAATTGTGGTAATATAAACATTTAATGCATAATGAGCAAATGAGATGTACACAATTAGGTATTATTTATATTATTATTAAGATTTAATATTATCAAATAAACCAAATAATATTTAATGTGAATAATGTTTCATTTCATTTTTTTTATGAAGGGAGATTTTTTTAGGGTACCACCTGAGAGGTTTCCGCGTATCACAGGTTGAGAAATTCTGGTATAGAGTCTGACCACGAGTAAGTTACTATAATATGATAAGCGTTAATATACATGTATGACGTGTACCCATATATGGTCTGGAGGTTAGAG